TATTTCACCATTAAAAAGCTTCGTTATCAGTGAGTATTATAGACTGCATTTTTTTTTTCTTCTATCTTTGCCTTTTCTCAGTTATTAGGCCTTCCTTGTCCTAAGTCTCCAGACAGGACGGATCTTAGAGGCTTGTTCGTCAAGTTTTAATTAGGTAATAGTTTTTGTTATGGGTTCAGTAGTATATAAATTAGTTCAGTTAGGGTTAGGGTTAGGGTTCAGTAGCTTATGAATTGATTCGTTACAAAATATCATATTTTTATTGATGTTAATGATGATTGCATACGTTTGTTACAAAAATACGTTTCTTTACACGCTTCAACATAACCTTTTAAAAGAAAATATAAATGTTTTTTCTGTATGTTACGAAGGCTGCGCGGTCTTCGACTCTTACCTTTATAACGAAACAAATCCAATTAGATATGCAAGCTAACGTAACTGAATTAAAATACTTCTCACTGATTACATTCCGCTCCATTAATTTAACACATGCACAATTGATATAAGCAACCTTACAATTATAGACATTAAAAATATTTCGACCTAGTCCATGAAAAAATCTCAGATTTTTCCAAATAGTCCGCACAGCGGCTAAATCTCAACCTACAGGCGGTCTACTGGCAACTATTCCCATTGGCCTGATGGTTTGATCAGCCTAATGAATAAAAAAAACATGATTTTTTTAGCATTATTAAATCCAGATTCAATAACAGCTAAAATCTTTCCAAGAGCATTTTTAATTTGAATACCATCTCCCCTGCCTTATCCTACTCCCGTAAGATCGGTGCACCGGGTTTTTTTTTTTATAACATAAGGTGGCAAACGAGCAAGCGGCCACCTGAAACCGCCAAAATGGCGAAGCGACCGCTGCCCATAGACATCCGCAATTGCAGATGCGTTGCCTACCCTTATACGACGGAGGAGGAGACGCACATAAAGATGACATTTCCCCTTCCTATGCATCTCCTCCACCGTCAAATCCACTTCCTCTTCCCAACCTCTCCTTATAAGAACAGGGTGGTAAAGAGAAAGGGACTTAAATTAGGCCTCCGGCACCACACTCATCAGACGAAACACGGAATTGCTTCAATTTCACGTCTATCTTCTGTGTTGTCGTGGTATTACACCGGGCGTGCCGGTCCTGCAGTGCTAAGATGTTAAAGCGGGCACTACCACTGTTAAACTGGGTTGTCCTCCAAATAACTCTATCATACGTCTTCTCAGTCATCACTCCCTTCTTGATCATCACCTTTCATGCAATCTATCCGTCTCTTTCTAGGTCTACCTCTACCGGTGTACCACATTTATAACTAACGTCCTTCTTGTTCTTGTTACATGTGATTCATCCATTCTCATAATATTCCCATATCACACTAAAGTTTTTTAACTTTGTTATTGAATACTGGCTGGATTTAGTTAACCCATTATTATTGAGACAATACTTTTGTGTTATTTTGTATATTAAGCTAACGATGCGTTTAACTCTGACGTCTAATTACCATAAACAATCTCGTATTTATTGTATTTTAATTGCCACGTCATTTTGTTGTGCAGGAAGTATTAGCATTGTCAGACATTGCTTTTGGTTTATTAGTTCTGTGGACGCGGTGAAGTGAGATTTAATAATCATTGGTATTATTGTGGAATTTTAGGTTATATTTTAATTTCCCTAGTGGCTTTTTTGTTGTAAAGTGAGATTGTGGTCGGTTAATTGTTGTTTTATAATTGTAAGTATATATTACTTAATTAATTATAGCATTTTCATGATTTTACCCATTTCCAATGTCAAGCGCCAATAGCTAAATGGTTTGGGGCACGGATTACTGATCTTACGGTCAAGAGTTCGAATCAAATCGAAAATCGAAAATCGAAAATCGAAATCGAATTCGACTTGTCGTAAACCATATTTTAGCACAAGCCTGGAGCTTAGTTCAAATTGTTAAAATATTAGTAAATGAACAAAAATCTACTAATATTTTAATTAAAAAAAATGTCTGTGAACTCTATCTAAACTGTATTTAAAATTAAAGAGATTCTGTTAACTGCGTTAACAGACTTGAGGAGAAGTAAATTGCCATCGCCCGCAGATCTTGACTAGGTGTAAGAGGGGTGCAATTATAAACATTCAAAATATCTATTATACGTTTTATCGATGTTTTAGTGGGGGCAACTGCCCTTCCCTAGCGACGCCAATGGCGATTATTTTTCAACTAGCTTCCTAGGAATAATAAAAAAAACAAAAACAAAATTGAGTGTGCGTATGTGTTCTTTCAGACTATCATCTACATCTATACCAAATTGCATCTAAATCGGTTCAGCCGTTTAGACAACAAACTCTAACAAACATCCATCTAAACTTTCACATTTACAATATTAGTATGATTACAAACTTTATTAAAATGATAAATTCTAATTTTATTATGAACTTAGTTACTTTATTATGTGCTCAATTATTGCAGGGTGAAGTCCCATAATCAGTATTACAAGTCCTTGAGTCACCCAGGACGTCATTCTACAGTTGTTTATTACAGTTGTTTGCATAATACTATCATTCTTGCTTCCCCTTGAAATAGGGCTGTATCATTATTATTCACTTATGTTTTTTTATTACAACACCTGGTCATTAACTGGCCCCTTACATTGACCATTTGGTTTGACCCACGATCTCTCCAAGTTCAACCCTTGACAGTTCGGTTTAATAACGCGCCAATAAGGTTTTAATGCATTTACGTTATTTAAAGATATTTGATTTGTCAATTCTTATCTAACTATTGTCTTTTCAAGATTGATACTTACCTTTGCCAATGTAATAAAAACAGTTTGTTTTTCCTAATCAGTAGTGTAGACTGCAGGAGATTATAGTCAAATAAGGATGTCTGGACCAGTGTGAGAGGGTGACATCTCGGTTAGTTTTTGTATGTATCCGATTCATGTAAAAACTACTGAGCCGATTTCAAAAATTCTTTCACCATTAAAAAGGTAATCTATCTGTGAGTAATATTGGCATTTATTTATAGTTATTTTTTTTTAGTGCCTCCAGATGGGATATCCTTGTCGGACTATAATGGAATTGACAAACATTATAAACCCACATACGCGTAAAACAGTACCGTCCTTCGAGCAATAATGAAAATGTCATTGTGTTATCAAATTCCCGCGCAAAATTATTAACATTTTATACTAACTAAACTTTTGATATCCGCACGTTATCACCAACAACGAACTCGTTAACGGTTATTTATAAATTATTCTGTCAGTTTGTAAATGGATCTCTTACTGGTGCGATCTCTGTGCTTATAATGGGGTTTAGTGAAGCTGAGGATTGTCAGGGGCTGTTGTATCGTATCGCCAAGCTGCGGTAAGAAAATTGCATGACATAGTTTTGAAAGTAAAAACTCTTTTGAAGCTTTTATCACCGTATTCTGAGTTGTTGAATAATCACTCATCGTCTTCCTCCTTATCCTACTCCCGTAAGGTCGGCGCCACAGGTTTTTGGTCCTCCACATAACTCTATCATCCGTCATCTCAGTCATCACTCCCTTCTTGACCTTGTCACCTTTCACGCAAACTATCCATCTCTATCTAGGTCTACCTCTACCGGTGTCTTCTACACGTGTAACTAACGTTCTCCTTGTTACTTGCGGTTCGTTAATCGTCGAATTATCCCTATGGGTCATCTATTAGAAATCTACACTAAGCGACTGTTTAAGTAATTAATAATGGTTCTAAGTGCGAAAATTGCTTGATATCGTGTTAATAATGCCTATTGGAAACAAACAGCATAATCTTAGACATAGAAATTGTTAGTAAAAATATTTATGTAAACAAAACTATAGTTTGGTCTTAGATATCCCTTTATCGTTAGCAAATCAGTAGATTCTAAAGAAATCAAGGGTCATAACCGCTTTTATTGCCCGTATGTATCTTTTCTTGTACTTACTATACGAGAAAAGATAGCTCATTAGAAATTATTATATACGTAGTATACATTGGAATCCATTATAATGCTATCATAATTATCACATCTCAAGGCGATATTGCTATGGGGACCGTTGTAAAACTGGCTTCAAGACGTTTTAGCCCCTTCGTACACAAGCAACGTAAATCTTTGAAACAACTATTCTATCCCAGCAGAAGTATCGCTTTGCGCTTCATACACCCAACGAAAATCTCTTTAAATCTAACTACTCCGCCTTTAAAATCACAGCGACATCGACTGATTTCAGCGATGACAGAAATTTCAGTACCTCAACGACTTTATATCGCGTTAGTCAGCGACTTATATCGGCAGGGTTAAAACATCGCCTTGTGTGCGACTGGCCTTACTGTTAACATAATGATTCATACAACAGAAAGATATTGAACCGTTAGTGCGTCCTGATAAGCTAATGTTGTGTTAATTCCACGAACGTTATTATGTACCTTATCATTTGGCAGCGTGAGATTCTTTTGTTTTATCAAACACTAGCTGTTGCTCGCGACTTCGCACGCAGGAAATTAAAAAATTAAAACAATAATATAGCTTATGTTACTTACAGATAAATTACTTTTCCAATGGTAAAAGAATTATGGAAATCTGCATAGTTGTTACTGAGTTATACATATAGTTCAATACGTACAAGAATACAAATCTTTCCACTTTATATTAGTATATAGATAACAATATGTACCAAACGTGATCATCATAATAAGTTAAGAATAATTTTATTTTTTCTTGATTCTTACTAGTCTTATCTTAGCCTAAGTTTTATCTCTACACTTTACAATTATATAAATCCAAATTCGTCTGCTAAAGCTTGCTATTATTATACGTTAAAACATGGTCTCGGTGCGTTCCTTTAAAAGTAAAACTGGCCTATAATGGCCACTGTCAAGTCATAGCCTGTCCCATTTGTTACCGCCTAGCGTTTTCACGTCCGTGCGAACGCTCGCTTAAGAGGGGCATCTTTCATAGATTGTGCAAATGATCTCGTTTGACCTTCTCATTGTTTCTATTCCAGCCTGCTCCGTCCGGTGTCGCAGGGCGTGATGGAGCACGCGCTGCAGCACCGCGAGCGCGCCGGCGTGCAGGACTTTGTGCTGCTGGAGGACTACAGATCCGAGGCTGCATTCATCGACAACCTGCGTAAACGGTTCAACGAGAACATCATATATGTATGTATACCTACTATAAAAACGCGCGCACACCTTAAACTATCGCATAACTGTTTAGTCGCGCTTTGGTTCCTATGAGCTTATGTGGAGTTGCGCACATTACTCGATCTTTAGTTGTGCAACTAAACAGTTGAATTGGTTGCGAAACAATCGACAATCGCACAACAGTTGTGCGATAGTTTACTCAACGGTATATACTCTAAACATATCAGAACGCTTGTACGTGTGTGAGGGAATAAATATGATCAAGTACCATCTTATCTTACCAATATTATAAATTTGAAAATTTAGATGCATGGATGTTTACTTATGAACGGATCTTGATAAAATTTGTCATAGATTAAGAGGATAGTCTGGAAGAATACATAGACTACTTACTTTTGTTTTTTTAAATCCACGTACGTGGTCGGAGACAAAAGCTAGTTTTTTTACTATCCATTCTGTGTTTAATAACTACTTATTAAAACTACAATTTAATGCTTTTTGTAGACGTACATCGGAAATGTTTTGATCTCCGTCAACCCGTACAAAAACTTGCCCATCTACACTGAGGAGAAGGCGAAGCTTTACTACAAGAAAGCTTTCTTTGAAGCTCCGCCGCATGTGTAAGTATTTACTAGTATATTCTTCATACTTCAATTTTACCAATCTTAAAAATGCCCTTGTCAATACGGAACAGTATGTACTGTTCTTCCATACATTTCAGCCGTCAATTTGAATTCGCTTCTTCCTTCGGTCTTCCTCTACCTTTGTAGCCAATTAATCTTACCAATATTTACGTTAATTAGACAAACTAAAACGTAGTTAAAATCACAGATATATAATGTTAATTTAGTTGAAAATTATGGATAACAAAAATGTTTATTCTTCAACCACAAGAACACGTTCGCGAAATACAATATCTGTCAATATGTAATATACCTAATTAGTTTTTTTTTTATAACATAAGGTGGCAAACGAGCAAGCGGCCACCCGAATCCGCCAAAATGGCGAAGCGACCGCTGCCCATAGACATCCGCAATTGCAGATGCGTTGCCTACCCTTATCCGACGGAGGAGGAGGCGCACATAAAGAGGATATTTCCCCTTCCTATGCATCTCCTCCACTGTCAAATCCACTTCCCCTTCCCATCCTCTTCTTATGAGAAAAGAGTGGTAAGGCGTAAGGGACTTAAATTAGGCCTCCGGCACCACACTCATCGGACGAAACGCGGAATTACTTCCACTTCACGCCTGTCTTCTGTATGGTCGTGGTATTACACCGGGAGTGCCGGCCCTGCAGTGCTAAGATGTTAAAGCGGGCACTACCACTGTAAAATTAATGGTTTAATTGTTCGTTTGTTTTGTTACGTTTAGATGTAACAGTAAAACGTGCGAACAAACACGTGCTATAAACAAGCTGATAAAGGTATTAACGATGGCCAATAGCGACCATGCAGCTGTTAGAAGAATACTTCTTATAGATATATTGTGCGATAAAATTATTGTTATATCGATCACCCAAAATCATACTTCATACTAATATTATAAATGGGAACGTTTAGATGGATGTTTGTTAGAGTTTGTAGTCTAAACGGCTGAACGGATTTCTATGAAAAATGGTAAAGATGTAGAGGACATTCTGGAAGAACACATATGGTACTTACTTTTGTTTTTTTTAATTCCACGCGAACAGAATCACAAGCGAAAGCTAGTTGCCGTTGTTCATACAAGAAACTAAATTGTGATAACTTTGCCCTCCTATCTATGTCCATTAGGGTTTTACTTTATGACAAAACCTAGCATAGACTCTCTTGACAGGAGGCCTTCTTGTTTTTTCTGGGCTTCTACCCCTCTAGCTTTCAACCCCCAGTAGGGGGCAGAGTTTCATTTTAGAAAGATATAGAGAATTCGTAAGATAGTTGAAACATATTCTTTGTAAGTTTTCAATAATATTAACAAACTATCTTTCCTGTGCTAGTTACAATGATCTACTTCATGACGCTTGATAAAAGATACAAGCGTTTACAATCTATAACATAGATAATGTATCGACACATCGTTATCATTGTTACTAAATATCACGATGAACTATACATACACCTATAACAAACAATAAATATAAACTACACCAATAATCTAATTCATTAATATGTTACTCACTGATAACGTGGGATTTTTTAAATTGGCCCAGTAGTTTTTGTTTTATTTCAATACATATCTTTAATGTTAATCTTTCCTCTTTATAATATTAGTATACCATAGACTAGATCCGAACACGTCCGTGGTTTTATCGATTTATTAAAATATGTCATGAAAAATTGAACAACAACGAAGTAAGTTTACAATAGAGAAGAACAAAGAGTAAACCAGTATCAAATACACACACGAAGATAGCAGTTTTAACTTTTTTTTTGTTCGTAGGTTTGCAATTGCAGACAATGCCTACCGATCGCTGGTTTATGAGCATCGAGAACAATGCATCCTTATTTCGGGTAAGACAGTCTTCACTACATAGCTAAACAAATCTTACTAATATTATAAATGCGAAAGTTTAGATGAATGGATGGATGGATGGATGGATGGATGTTTGTTAGCGTCTGTAGCCTAAACGGCGGAACGGATCTCCATGAAATGTGGCACAGGTATAGAACATAGTCTGGAAGAACACATAGGCTACTTTTTATCCCGAGAATAGTTACGGTTCCCGTGGGATTCATTAATTTAGTTTTTTAATATTTACTCGATGATTCTGCAACGGTTAAACATATCTTATTGAAATTTGGCACAGACATAAAATAAAGTCTGGAGTACACATGGGATAAGGTTCATCCCCGAGGTGTCCGGTTCCCGAGGGATACGTAGCTTTTTGTTATTTAAATAGTTCGTATGTTTTCTAATACCACGCGGACGAAGACGCGGGCAACAGCTAGTTTTATATAAAATATAAGAGTTTTAATGCAAATTAACAACTATTTTTTGTAATTCAAATGTTTAGGTGAATCCGGTTCAGGAAAAACCGAAGCTTCGAAGAGAGTTCTAGAATATATCGCATCAAGAACAAACCATCTTCGCAATGTTGAGACTGTCAAAGACAAACTACTACAGAGTAATCCGCTCCTCGAAGCGTTCGGAAACGCTAAAACACATCGTAACGATAACTCAAGTCGTTTCGGCAAATACATGGATATTCAGTTCAACTTCGAAGGTGCGCCAGAAGGAGGCCATATCTTGAACTATCTTCTAGAAAAATCTAGAGTCGTAAGTCAAATGTCTGGAGAAAGGAACTTCCATATTTTCTATCAACTACTGGCTGGTGCTAGCCAAGATTTGCTGAGGCAACTGAAGCTGCAAGGAAGACCGGAAGCTTACAAGTATACGACGGACATGGTGAGTTGCCAGAAATAACATGTAGCTGCTAACTTAGATATTTACTATAGGTGCTACATTGGTGATTTACTTTAGCAAATCTGTATGTTTGAACATTTCAACAAACAATCTGTATATTTATTTACTACTGTATATAAATATAATTTTAGCAAAACATGATATGTTTCTATCTACAGCAATCGTCAGTAAGTCAGAAGGCGAGCGACGCGGAGCAGTTCCGCGTGGTGCAGGAAGCGATGAAGGTGATAGAGATAGGCGAGGCGGAGCAGCGCGAGATGTTCCAAATCGTCGCCAGCGTGCTGCATCTCGGCAACGTCAAGTTCGTGCAGAACGATAAGGGATACGCTGAGATACTGTCGCATGACGCTAACAGTGGAAACGTAGCCGATGTAAGTTTTAATTTTATTCTTTCTGTCTTTAAACCAGTACAGGTGTGAATGCTTCTCATTTCAATTTCTACTGGATCCCCTTACTTTTGGAGGGGATGTAAAGAATTTGTGGCCCACTTATCTGTTTAGAGCCACTGGCTCTGGAGCCTGGGGGATCGCTTAACTACCCCCTATTCTGCCAGAAAGCCAGTTAGATATTTCAAAAGAATAAAGTAACAAGCTTTATATTTTACGTTTTCTGCAAAGATTGTGTAAATTGTTTAAACGAAAAGAATGTTGTTTTACATCGCGTTACAAATGGTAAAAGGTTTCTTTCTCAATTGTTAATGAACATATCATAATAGACAATTTATAAGTAATGGGAATCAAATCCTAACTCTTTCCCACAAAGCGATCATATAATTTCATTCTTTAATAATCTTTTTATTCAACCTGATTGTCAGGATACCATCGATCGTTGAATGAAGTTATTTAAATAAGCATTAGGGCAAGGTTCTTTTGTAAGCGCATTGTTCTGCATACTTCATTTATAAACATTTGTACTACTTCCTCGGACACTACATTGTATTGATACGCTGTACTTAATCTCTATTGTATACTATCAAAGACAAAATGTATTCATCTATTGTTACCAATCAGTCTGATATCTGCAGTTCATCTATTTCTTTTAAGCTAACTTGTTACGTATTAATAACGATTTCTTCATACTTATCACTTACAATCTGTATTAATCATACTAATATTCTAATGCGAAAGATTAGATGAATGGATGGAACGATATATGGATGGATAGATGGATGTTTGTTAGAGTTTGTAGCCTAAACGACTGAAAGGATTTCGTTGAATTTTGGCATAGATATAGAGGATGGTCTGGAAGAACACAGATGGAGTCGCAAGCGAAAGCTAGTATCAGATAAAATGATACAATTTCGTATTTTTATTGGGACTCATCAGCAACTTTTCATTGTCCTTACGGAGGGTCGGCACAGTATGTGCTGCTTTTCCATACAGTTCTATCAACCGTCATATTTGAATCCACGCTCTTTTTAAGCATATCCTCTTTCATACAAAACAAAATTTAGTGGTTATCATATTACTAACTATGGTGTTCACTTTTCAAGACTATTGTTGCGTGGATTATAAGATATCAACTATGACATTTCCTTTCAGCTCCTAAAAGTGGACTCATTGAAACTCAGGGAGAGTCTAACAAGTCGAACGATAGACGCTCGGGGCGACGTCGTCAACACTCCGCTAGACTTGGAGCAGGCGCAGTATGCGCGGGATGCGTTAGCTAAAGCCATCTACGACAAGCATTTCAGCTGGCTTGTGTCGAGACTTAACGCATCCCTCACCCCTAAGGAGAAAGATCCCAGAGCTTCTGTTATCGGTATTCTGGATATCTATGGATTTGAGATCTTCCCGAAGAATAGGTAAGATAGTATAAACGTAGTATGTTTTAATTCATGTTTGTTGCTTTGAAGCTATGCTATAATTGTCAGTTTGAGAACTTGGAAATTAGCATATGTGTAGATGTTTTTAAACAGAATCTGTATACTGAAAATAATTGTAAAATATGGCTTATATTCCTATATTTAACATAAATGTTAGAAATATCCAGTTGGTAATTGTTGTCTGTATGTTGCATAGTTTCGAGCAGTTCTGTATCAACTTCTGCAACGAGAAGCTGCAGCAGTTGTTCATCCAGCTGACGCTGCGCCAGGAGCAGGAGGAGTACCTGCGCGAGGGCATCGAGTGGGAGCCGGTCGACTATTTTAACAATATCATCATCTGCGACCTGATAGAAGCCAGGCACAAAGGTCAGCTAATTAACATTATTAGTAGACACATTGTGAAGGTCTATGCTATTGAATTTATATTTTAATTTTGTCTGTTTCGTTAACGTATTTATAGAATTTTCCTTTTTGGAATATTTTATATGCATTATTAATATTATAAAATTATATTTGGATGGATGGATGGATGAATATTAAAAGGTATCTTTCGAATTGCTGAATGAAACTCGCTGTTGGCATACCTGTAAAACTTACTGTGGAAGAATACATATACTACTTACTGAGGTTTTCTAATTCCGTACGGAAACTGTCGCTGTTAAAAGTTATCTTTATAATACTTGATAGGAAGGAATTAAAATTTGTGATTACATAATGATGTGAATCGCAGGTATAATCTCAATCCTGGACGACGAGTGCCTGCGGCCGGGCGACGCGACTGACGCCAGCTTCCTCGACAAGCTGACGCAGCACCTCGACGGTCACAAGCACTTCAAGTCGCATCGCAACCTCGACTCCAGGACACAGAAACTCATGGGCAGAGATGTCAGTAACTATGCACTTCACTTTACTCAATTATTTCTGATAATCTTTTGATTTTAGCATAACATTTGGTATTACTCTAAGTAAATTCCGCATTTTTTTCTACATTTGTCGATTGTCTACTAGAAGACAACTACTTTTCGCTTCCTGGTGACACAGATATCCATGTTACTAATATTATAATTGCGAAAGTTTAGATGGATGGATATTTGTTATGGTTTGTATTTGTATTGTATTGCATAAACGGCTTAATGGAGCCTGGTGAAATTCAGCATAGATGTAGAATAATCTGAAAGACCACATAGGCTACTCGCTTTTAATTCCACTCGGAAAGCTAGTCTTCTATACATTAGTTCGTTTTTCAACTTTTCTATATATTTCTAATGTATTTAACACTGTACATCAGGAGTTCTGCCTGGTGCACTACGCGGGCGAGGTGACGTACAACGTGAGCACGTTCCTGGAGAAGAACAACGACCTGCTGTTCCGCGACATGCAGGCGCTCATGGCGCGCAGCGACAACGCCATCGTCGGCACCTGCTTCAAGGTACACTACGTACTTTCATGTTCATCTAATATTTTAAATTTAAAATAAATAATAAATAAAAATGAAAATTACTATCCGATGGAAAATGGGGAGGCTCAGCTTATCCGATACTGGTTGAGATCCAGTGTCGAGGTTTTCAGCCCCAACAAAGAATTTAACCCCAGCAAAACAATTGCAGTTCCTATGGTATTGTGTGACTTCTGTTATACTTATGGTTCCACGAGTTAACATTTTTACGTTAACATGCTTAGTGTAAACCATAAGCCTAGTAAGCAGTTCTAGAGGCTACTACTAACAGCAAAGTGAGCACTAATGAACCAAATTTTCTGTAGGAACCAAAATCGGATCTTAGTAGTACAGTGTTTGTAATATTTTCTTCACAGGATTCAAAATTAATGAGCAAGAAACGTCCGGAGACGGCGATTACTCAGTTCAAGAACTCCCTCAACGACCTCATCAAGATCCTGAGCAGCAAAGAGCCCTCATACATCCGCTGCATCAAACCTAACGACTTCAAGATGCCCAGTCAGTACACATACTTCACTGTTTTTTTATCACTTTATTTAGATTAGCTTAATATTTGTTGGCACAGAAGACTCAAGTTCTATCAAAACTTCTAAGTACAACTTGAATAGAATCTTTTGTGTCTTATTCTGCTTGCAATATTTTACTTGCTAAAGTTTGAATGCTTGTCTATCGAAAGAGACTTTAATTTCTATTTCATATTTGTCTATTCGATTGATGTGTGATGCTGCTCTTATAGTCAAAATTAATATTAATTTGGATATAAAAAGAGTTCTGTTATTAGTAAGTTAAGGTTATATTTTCAGTGCAATTCGATGACAAGTTGGTATCACATCAAGTGAAGTATCTCGGTCTGATGGAGAATCTGCGCGTGCGGCGCGCCGGCTTCGCATACCGCAGGACTTATGAGGCCTTCTTAGAGAGGTAACTATACTCGTTATTAAGGATTTCTTGGGATTCCAAGGATAAATAGCATTGTTCTTTGATGTTAATTCATTTAATTTATTTTAAGGTACAAGTGTTTGAGCTCAGAGACGTGGCCGAACTACCGCGGTGCAGCTCGCGACGGCGTGCAGTGCCTCGTCAGTGTCCTCAACTATGAAAAGGAGGAATACCGCATGGGCAAGTTAGTGTCACCCCATTAATATTAAACCTATTAGTTTTTACGTATTATGACACTATTTTATTATTATCATTTCAATTACTTCCTTACTAAAAACGATACAGAATTTTAGAAACGAAGTAATTCATTCCCACCATTTTCTTATAAGAAGACGTGCCATCTTATAAGATAACGATGGCAAAGGAAAGTGAATTCGACAATGGAGGAGAGACATGGGAAGGGGAAATATCCTCTATATGTGCGTCTTCTCTTTCGTCTATTAAGGAAGGGCAACCCACCTTCCGACGTCTATAGGCGGCGGTCTCTTTACCATTTTCATAAATTCAGATGACCTTGCTCGTATATCTCCTTATGATATAGAAATAATTCTTTTCCAGTACCAAGATATTCATCCGATTCCCGAAGACATTATTCGAGACAGAAGACGCATATCAATTGAAGAAGAACGACATCGCGACGATAATCCAGAGCCGGTGGCGCGGCTTCCGGCAGCGGCAGCGCTACCTGCGCATGCGCCGCGCCGCCGTCGTCATACAGAAGTGGGTGCGCCGCTTCCTCGCGCAGCGCCTCAGGGAGCGCCGCCGCCACGCCGCGCAAGTAATCCGCGCGTTCATCAAAGGTGCCAACAATGTTTTAAAAACAAAACTTATAAATGCGAAAGTTTACATGGATGGATGTTTGTTAGAGTTTGTAATCAGCTGAACTGATTTTGATCAAATTTGCATAGATTTTGAGGATAGTCTTTATGAACATATAAGTACTTTTTTTAATTCTACGCGAACGGAGTTTCGAGCAAAACTAATATTCTAGTCATAATTATTTCGCTATCGCTGATTGTGTACATCGCTCTGTTTCTCTCCATTTACGATCATGTTTTTCTTCTCTTTCATGTAACGAAATGATTGTAACCGTAATTGGAAAGCATTCAAAAATTATTTAAATACGAGTTGTCGCCAGTAAAATTCCTTAGTGTAGAACTTAAAATTCTCCCGTGCATCAGCTACTTTCTAATGAAAGTCCCGTCAAAACTGCTCAACCGTTTCGAAGTTCAATTCGTGCTTTGTATAAATAAGTACGTTTTTTTGAAGATTTTAAAGAGACATCTTCCTTTAGGTTTCATAACTCGCAACGGTCCCGAAACGCCGGAGAACCGTCGTTTCCTCGGCATCGCGAAGGTGCACTGGCTGAAGCGGCTGGCGGGGCAGCTGCCGCGCCGCCTGCTGGACCGCAGCTGGCCCGCCTGCCCCGCCGTCTGCCGCCACGCCTCCGCGCAGCTGCAGCGCCTGCACCGCGCCGCACTCGCGCGCCAGTACCGCCTCGCGCTCTCGCCTGATGATAAGAAGCAATTCGAACTGAAGATACTCGCTGAGAGTATATTTAAAGGTATTTAATCTTGTTTTTGTGAGCGTCGGTGGCTCAGTGGTTTGAACACTTGACTTGTAATCTACAGGTCTTGGGTTCGAATCCCGCCATGTACCAATGTGATTTTCGATTTTTCGAATATTCATATGTACATAATTTACCCGACGTTCTTACGGTGAAGGAAAACATCGTGATGCCTGCACATATCGGCGAAGAAATTCAAAGATATGTGTGAAGTCAACCAACCCGCAGTGGGCCAGCGTGGTTGACTATGGCCTAGTCACCCCTTATTAGGGTAGGCTCCGAGCCCCTCGGTGGGGACGTATAGTGAGCTGGTGATGATGATGAATCTTCATATTTCTGCTCGATAAGTTATAGATTTAAATATTCTGGTTTATGTTAAAAAAAAATAAACTTCTTAACAACACTACAACACCATTAGAAATAACCTAACTATTATACAAATAATCTTACTACCATAGATAGATAAATGTTAGAGTTTGTAGCTTCTATTACTGATTGAATCTCGATGAATTTTGACTTAAATATAGAGGATACTCTGGAAGAACAAACAGGCTACCTACTTTTTTTTTAGTTCCACGTGGCCGTAGTCAAGGAAAAAACCTAATTTTACCAACATTTCTTAAACCATTCTAGGTGGAAAGCTTAAAGACATGTAGTAAGAGATAATTCATGACAATAGTTCTGTAGGTTTTGAACTTACTACTACCTGATAATATCCCAAACTTTTGCTGCTTTATTTAGGTTTTATTCATAAAACTTGACTTGTAGATAAAGAATTAGACTAGTATACTAATATGTTGTATGGAATACAGGCAAGAAGAACAGCTACCCGAGCAGTATCGGCGAGCGCTTCGTGACGGACAGACTGACAGGCGAGCACCGCGTGTTGCGGGATACCTTCATGGCCTCGCCCGCCTGGCCCTCCGGCGAGCAGCTCATTGTGAGTACATATACTTCAAATGATATTTGTTACACAGTAGAACCTCAATAATTCAAACCTCGGTAACTTAAAAACCTCTATAACTTCAAAAAGTAATATGTTCCCTTCCTATCAGAGCCCAAAACTTTTATAATATAGACTCTTGATAACTTAAAACCTCTTTAACTTAAAATATTTTGTATTTCCTTGCACTTTAACTTATCGAGGTTCTACTGTATATCAAAAGTGTCATAATATACTAACTTAGTTTAAGTAAAATATACATACTAACATAATATTGGATCTTAAACTGTAAACAATAAATAAAAAAATTAAATAAGGTATGGGAACAAATTAGAACCCTAAAAAAATCTGAGTTCATTTTAAGCGAGTGATGAATTTTAAAAATTTATTTAACTTTATCTTTCAATTAACCTAATTTATTGTTATGAAGAAGAAAGATTTGGGTTTTTGGATTTCTATATGGATTGAAATAACTCAAAAACTACTGGGCCGATTTCTAAATTCTTTCACCATTAAAAAGCTATGTTATCGCTGAGTAACATAGGGTATATTTTTTGCTATTTCCTAATTGCATGCGAACGAAGTCAAGAGCAACAATTAGTATATTACAAATGTGATATTTGTATGGATGGATGTATATTTGATAAGATTGAATGTGGATGGCTACAAAGGAAGAGGAAGACCGAAGAAAGTATGGATGAATTGTGTGAAAGAGGATATGCTTAAGAAAGGAGTGGTTTCAGATATGACGTCTGATAGAGATGTATGGAAGAGCAGCACATACTGTGCCGACCCTCCGTAGGGATAAGGGCAAGTGGATGATAATTATGATGGATGTATATTTGTTGTAGATTGTAGTCTAAACTATCAAACGGATTTCGATGAAAGGTATAAATGTAGAACATCTGGAAGAACAAAGACTACTAATAATTTTTTTTTAATTCCGAGATTATATTAGACATATATTACTATATTAGACAAGTCAATAGACGTTTTAGTGTTCCGGTTAGAATACGAGTGCATTTTACAGTACTCGTGCGAGGCGGTGAAGTACGACCGGCGCGGGTACAAGCCGCGGGCGCGCGGGCTGCTGGCGTCGCAGCGCGCGCTGTACGTGGTGGACGCGGCGGCGCGCAAGACGTACAAGCTGAAGCACCGCCTGCCGCTGGACAAGCTGCGTGTCGTCGTCACCAACGAGACGGACCAGCTCGCCCTCATCAAGATACCCCAGGAACTTAAGAAGGATAAGGTCAGATTGAACACTACATTCTTGTTACTAAGCTTAGATTTAGTATACTTTTTGTAATGTTTGTGCAACACTACATTCTTACAAACATCCTTGTTGCTAAGGTAAGTTTTAGTATATTTTTTGTAATGTTTCTACATTAAGTGTCAAATAAATATGATAAGTTGACCTTCGCGTGCATACCCTTGACTACAATATCGCACAACTGTTTAGTCTTGGTTTGATACCTATGAGCTTATATGGAGGTACACTACTCGATTTTTAGTTGTGCAACTAAACAGTTGAATGGGCTGCGAAACAATCGACAATCGCACAACTGTTGTGCGATAGTTTAGTCAAAGGGGTGTGTGTCAAGTCTTTATTGGGTTAAGAATAATTTTGTACAAAATAAATGAGCGTTTCTTGAACTAATAATAGCTGTATTAAAATTGATAAATAACGAAATTTTTAAAAAGCAAAACATCAGAATTAAACTAATATACTATATACTAATAATACTAATATATCTATATAAAGTTGTATTACAGTTATCTATAATATCTTGAGTAAGGCTGGATTCTCATATATCTTGTTCCACATCTGCAGGGTGACCTGATCATCTCGGTGACACACTTGATCGAGGCTCTCACAATCGTCACTGACTACACAAAGAAGCCAGAACTCATCGAGATCGTCGACACTAGAACGTAAGATGCTTTTATCTATACTATTATAATAAAGCGTAAACACACACTTCTTTGTTGCCTAAGAAGTCAGAAATCACAGCATATTTTTATATAATCCTTTTTTTGATAAAACGCCCTACACTTACGTCATGCTTTAGGCTATATATTTTCACACCATTAAACTTAATGGGTTAATATTTTGGATTAAAACCCTAATATGGGAAAGAGACCATAAATTGCTGCCATCAAGGAAGCAAGGTTGCCATGGTTTGTCATTATGTCATATCATTTTGACATTTGCAATTGATAATTTGACACATGTAAACACCAAAATAAAATTTTCTTAATTTTATGCGAATTATTATTATTATTATTATTAATTAAATCGCATGGGAACAGCTAGTATATACTACTATTTTAAATTTACTAATGATTCAAAAAACACTTTCACCATTAAGCTACGCTAGCTAGGCTATGCTTTTTTTATTATTTTTTTAATGTCACGAAGACGAATTCGCTAGCAAAGTATGTTATGTTATAAGGAGGAAAGGTATTTTTGTATGTATTGAAATAACTAAAAAACTATTGGGCCGATTTCAAAAATTCTTTAATTAAAAAAGCTACGTTATGAAGTTTAGCTTTGTAATGAGTATTCACAATTTGCATGCTCGCTAATGAAATAAAAAAGGTGTGAAACAGAAAAGTCTGAGGAATCACGACTTTTAGACGCCGCGTAAGTATTTAGACTGGAAAACGGTAGATGCGGTATACAAAGAGATTCAAAAATATATAGAAAAGGCATAATTGACACTTCACTTGAGAGGCTATTGATAAATTTTTAAATATCATTTTAGTTTATTCTAAAACAAATAATGAAGCTAAATATAGTAAAATGTTTTAATACTAAACTGGAAAACTGATAGTACCTATCAGAGAAAGTACCGGTAAAAAAAAATGTTCAGTGTGCCTTGTCTATAAATTAAATGTCTTTGGTCATATCTTACTAATATTATAAATGCGAAGGTTTAGATGGATGTTTGTTAGAGTTTATAGCCTAAACTGCTGAACGGATCTCGATGAAATTTGTCACAGATGTAGAGGATAGTCTGGAAGAACACATTGGCTACTCACTTTTGTTTTTGTTAATTTTACGCAGACGGAGTCGCGGGCGCAAGCTTGGATATTATAATTTATTGTATTTAAATATTTACAACGATTAACAATTATTTTATTTCTAGATTTACATAATTGTAAGCAATGTATAGTAATTGTAATTTATTGTGTCAGCATCGCCCACAATTTGGTAAACGGCAAGCAGGGCGGCACTATCGAGGTGACCAACGGCCCGCAGCCCGCCATACAGCGCGCCAAGAGCGGCAACCTGCTCGTTGTACGTATTCCTTTCATATTTACGTCTCATTCTTAATTATTCCATAAAATTACATTATCTTTGAGAGCAGCCCCAATGGTAGAAGGTAACCAGTAAGGCTCTTATGGTATGGACATGTTATGAGGAGGGATAAATCGCATGTAACAAGAACTTTAGTTATGAATGTGGAGGTACACCGGTAGAGGTAGATTTAGAAAGAAAAGAATGGATTGCGTGAAAGGTGACATGATAAAGGAGGTGACTGAGATGACGTATGATAGAGTTATGTGGAGGACAAAAAAACTACGGGAGTAGAATAAGGAGGAAGATGATGATCTTTCTGGGGAGGGTGAATAACCTAGAGGAGGATCATAAAAACAGTATAGCATTATAATGAGTAGCCAGAAAAAAGTCTTTGGGAACCTTTGATCTAGAAAATTGATTGTACATTGGTTATAAATTACCAAACTTTAAGTAAATTTAAGAAAACCCCATTAATATTGGAGTATAGCTTCTAGTGTCATGTATATTAAATTAGTTTTTATATTTATAATTTATTTCAGGTGGCAACACCATGAGGCAGTACCAGCTCAGTATTACGAGAAGGATAACAACGACCCAACACTAGTTGTATTAACGTAAACTGTAATTGTTATTTATAATTTATTTTAAACAAATTATACATTTTTGTTAAGTTATACAATTTTTTATATTATGTTTATGTTTTTTACTCAAAAGAATCAAATCGCATGACAAAAATATTATGTTGCAATTTCATCCAAATATGAAAACCTCATTTTGATTCGTGACGAACAACTAAATATTCATGTAATAGACAAAATAAAGGACACTTTGCGCTATTTATTTAAGAATATGGAAATCATTTTTTAATAATCATTTTTTTAATACTTGTCATTTCTTAGTTTATGTTTTAATTTTGTAACTTTTTTTACTTTTTGTTCCATTCAATTGGTTTAATTAAGAAAATCGTGAAAAATAACTTTAAAACATATTAAACACTACTATTTATCGTTAAAAAATAATTATAACGTTAAGAAATAAAATATAATATTTCGTACAAAGTACTTAGCTATGATACACCATGTAAATATAGCCAAATTCGACAGAAATGAGAAATTATAAAAACCTATCTAAACAATTTTACCTTTATTATCTATCTATATAGATTTATTAAAAAAATGAAACACTGGAATTTCAAAAATTAATCCAATAATGTTAGTATTGGACAAGGTAGGGCTACCGCCCAGGGCGCCGGATATAAAAGGGCGCGACAAGCACGTTTTTTCCTATGGATTTATACTGCAGTTAGGGACCGTTGATATCTCGCCCAGGGCGCAAGCAATACTAATTTGAAGTGATACTGTGGGATTCCACCACAGAAATGCCTACGTAACATTGTAAGAACATTGCAAAGGCGTTTGAATGTCATTGCAAACTCAAGGTGAAATGTTGCCCAACCACAAAAATCTTGGTTATTCGTGTACACATTTTCATAAGAACTGTATTTCCGACATATTTAAGATACATCTTTTATAAGATCTCAAAAGATGTAACGGTTATCGTATAGGTTTGTATTGTATTAAAGTTTAAATAAAATATAGACACTATGTACAATTTGTATTTTGTAAGCTGAATCAACGGTGCCTGGCGACGGCGATGGCGGCCATTTTGTAGGTTATGAAATAAAGGACACTTGCTTTCATCAATTTTACTCCACGTTTCGCGAGCTACTATTAAAAACAAAAATGATATATAAACTTAAACTAGTTTTACTAGTTGTTACTATTCTTTTGAATCTAATTTCATAGTTCAGGTGAAATAAATATCTAGTCATGTAATTTCATGCAGTTTTGGTTTCTCTTTTCTATATTGAAACCGTGGGATTTCATAGCGGATTAACCTATATAAAAATCTACTTTTTAAAGAATGAAGATCATGTTTGAATTAGACAAATGTTTTTGTTGCATTTCAGCAGTGAAAACCCACAGTTATGTGGTATACAAATTATATTTAAACTCAACAGAACGCAGGCTAAAGTGTGCCTTATAGACTAGTTCCTTTGTCGTAATTTTATTAATAAACGCATTTTACTATATTGTATTTTATTTCTCATATAAACAGAATCTATATAAACTTATTTAAAAAATATGAAAAGGTTAATACTAGTTTTAAAAAAAGTTCGACTTCAGGAAAAAAATACCTTGTTTATTGCAACGAGACAAACTCTCTATTTATATAAGTGAGAGCAAACGAATGAATAATAAAAAGTAACTAGCCGTGATCACTATAGTTTGTCTAAAAATAGATTAGTATGACAATGAATTTGAAATTTAGTAGGGATGGGTAAAATCAGACATAAATCTTTTCGATTATCAATTTTTATTTTATACAAGTTAGCATCGATGGATTCATCGATTCGTTTTCTAAAATTAATAATGACCTGCAGAACCATTACAAATAATAACACAAAAACTATAACAGACTTTTCGCACAGAAACATTTGTAAGCTGCGATGTGTTTTTGTTCCGCGTCTCGTTTTTAAATGTTCAAACAATGATAGCTGTTAAGGAACACCGCTAAAAAGGGTAACAATAAAACCACACAAATCATCATAATAATTGCTGTTTAATTATCTATAGAAAAGTTAGGTACATTTTTACATTTAATTTTACATTAACAATCCAGAGTTATGGCGACACGCGCAGCACTCAGTCTTCAATAAAATAACACACCTGTAAAACAACGCAGACGCGTTCAAACACGGACATACGAGAATAGGAACTGGCCCAAGTTAACATTTCCCATAAAAAAATTCATTTAAAAAAAAATAAAACAGTCCCCAGGAACTTTTTACACTAATAATGATTTAATAAATAAAATAAACCCATACCAACATAATAAATGTTTAAAACATATTTCAAAGTGTTAAAAATCCAATATCACAAAGTCCCCTAAACTCCGGATTATTCGTTACGATGGCAACGCCGCCTATCACTTTATTACAAGGCTCCAGCGACAGCAACCACGATACCTGATTATTTCAATTTTACTACAATTCAGTTAAGGGAAGAACTTAACTTTGGTTAGGTTATGAAATAAAGAAGAAAAATGGAAGATCTGGGAGACAAAATACAAGACATAAATAATTTTGAGCTGATAATACATAAATCTTAGGCTTTCAAGCTTTGGGAACAAGCCTTTTGGCTTATTCCATAACATAGTTTACTTCCTGTCCCACAACTGGCTGATAAAGGCTCAGATAGCTTAAAAATGACGTCATTTTCATAAGGGAACAAATTCCGATATTTCCATCGCATTATTTATCGCATTTACACGTTAGATTATCAGACAATTAACAATTTGGTGGGACAGGCCCTAAATATGCCAAACCATTACACATCCATATGTTTGAACAGTTTTACTATAAAAACATTTGTGAACAATCTTACATACTATTACAAACTATATACAAACACAATGTGATGCTCCTGCTAGTGCTAGATAAGGCTGAATATACACATTATTTACTTAAAACATATAATTATACTATATTAAATGCCAACTAGTTTGGTAGATCAGATTTATTATGCTAACTTAATTACGGATCCTTTGATTCGAGCCAGTGGAATGAAGATATTGTCATAAATGTGATAATTTTAATCCATTTACAATAAATTTTAATAATCAGGTAACACAAACTTTACAGTAGATATTAAATAAAAGACTAGTAAAAAAGTTGGGCCTAAAATTGCACCTTGTCCTACTAACATTTTTGACAAATATAATAGTAAAAAAAATGAAGCAAAACCAACAAAATTCATTTTATAACTATTGATTTATTGATTATTATACTAAAGTGCTTTGGATGTTTCTTGGAACAAATATTCCGAATTTTCCAAAAATATTTTAAACATAGGGCCTATTTTATACACAAAGTCCCAAGGCCATTAATATCCTATTCCTGGTAACCCTGGTTTACAAACCCCTTTATTTAATTTATCTAATAATTTTAAACTATAATTATCTAAGTTTTTAATATTTCTGTTTGTAGCTAACACTTGTGTGGTACATTTATGACTTCAAAATTGACAAAGTACTAAATGTGTTTTTTTTTTGTCTTAATCGCAACGGCTACCGGTCATTTGTCAAAGCTGGACTCCATCTACATAGCTTGTTATTTGAATTTTTAATCTTGTACGGTAGAACCTCGATAAGTTGAAGTCCAAGGGAAACAAAAAATATTTTAAGTTATCAAGGGTCTATGTTATAGAGGTTTTGGGCTCTGATGGGAAACGAACATATTTTTTTTAAGTTATAGAGGTTTTTAAGTTACCAAGGTTTGAATTATCGAGGTTCTACTGTATTATACATCCTTAATTACCTTCAATCTAGATTTTGATATCATCTAAAAAAAATTATTCCACTAATTTAAAAAATAACATTTTGTGACTATGATATACTAGGAACAATGCTGATTTTGCTTATACATGACACATATAATTTATATAAATAAATAATTTTCAACAAGGTATCTTCATCCCACTAAAGCGTAAACCTACAAATCTATATTACAAAGATAACCAATAAACTAAAATTACAACCAAACCCTTAATATGTACAAACTCATAAAAACCTGAACTCAAAAGTTTATTGCCATAACAATTAAAAACTAAGTTATACAGAGTTAGAACTACCCTTTGAGTACATTTTATAATACATAAAGGCCACAAAGTCTCCTCTAAAATTTGAACTTGGCAATCATTAGCAAACAACACATTTATATTAAAAATATCTTTGAATACATGTTTATTTCCTGTACTTAACTATCTACATGTGAACATACAGTCATTCTGTACATTTTATACTGAATTTTAACTTTACCATACATATAATAATTAATTCCATTATGCAAACTAATTTGGAATGGTTCAATTTCTAATCTAAGATATGACAGACTGAGTGAACAGTTTTCTCTTTATAGTCTATCTGTTAATGACGTGTAAGGCGACATCGGGGAAGACGAGGTGCAAGCGAAATTTCGCTGAATGACATCGCGAGCGCATCGATGCCGATTGGTGTCCGCTGCCCCGCGCGCCCTTGCACCTCGTCTTCCCCGATGTCGCCTTACACGTAATTAACACTATCCTTTTCTTTCCTACAACAATCATCAGACAAAGAGGATGGGATTTACATAGGTGAAGCTTTTTTATATATAAAAAGTGGTGAAATTCGTAAAATTCAATATTACATAATTCTTTTTTAATGCATGTTATGCATTTATTTCACCTGATCTTAATCCTTAGAAACACCAATGATTTTGGATAAAGATAGTTCCACATTCTGAGTCAAATAAAATATTTTTTAAACTCTAGTAATCACTATTAAAAATTAATCTTTTTAACAGCAAAATTAAAACAAAAACAAACAAGAATTAAATTGAAAGAAGGATTAATTTGAGTTTATTTACTGTGATGTGTACAATCAGCTGCATAAATATATACATTTACAAAACTTGTATTCTGCAGTTTCCAAAATATATAACCATGTATTGTTCAAAAACATGTATCCAATGTGTGAAGTATATGAACAGAGTTCATACACTTTTTTTGAAGGTTATAAAAGCTTTGAAAATTTATACATATTTATGTAGCTGACTGTACTTAGCAGCCATTGAGATAAGAATGAACATTTAATAATTACATTTACATAAGACTATCATAAAACTTTGTTTCTCATTTAAGTTATTTTTTTGGAAAGTGTTTTTAATGAATTTAAAGTCTGTAATTGCAATAATTTCCTCCTAGATTTGGTCATATGATAAAATCTAGCATAAAATGTTATTTTTATTAAATAAAACACACAGATGTGGTTATACATTTAATTAGAGAAAGCATGAGACATTCTTGGTGGTCCAGCTTCAGCTTCCTTGATCTTTTTGTTGATTCAGGTAGAGTTAAAATTACTATATTTGTTGGTACTTTTCCCAAGTATAATTATTCAAATTTATTTAGCACTTCTTTGTATTTACGATGCTAAGTTTATTATGTAAATGACATAGTAAAGGATAGGTTGAAAGTGCTCTAAAGGGGAATTTTTGTTTATAAAGGCATAATATACTTGTCTTAATAATAAATGTTGTAAAAATAAAACCATGTTGTATTTCTATATTTCAATACTTTAAAAAAATCAATTAAACCTCTAGAATTTTATTTGTTTTACTTTATATGAAACATATGTGGAAACCTATGTCAATTAATAATATTCAGAATTATGAGCATTAAATAAAAATACCTATTTATTGAAAAGATAGGAAGAAGTTGTCATAGCATTTTTTTTATGATTGCCATTGTTGATATATAACAAGCTTTTTTAATTATTTTATAAATCTTAACTAGAATTCCATGGACAATAGATGTTGAGACTGACTATCACTTGTGTCTGTTAATTTCAAAATATAATCTGTGATGTACAAATTGTGATATATTTCCTACCACAGAGTATAAATTGATAAATAATAACAATAAGGACTATAATTTACTTATTATTCTCACATCTTCATTACCTCCTTGACTTGTATTCAGTTGCCGATGTCTTGAACTGGCTTCAAGCATAGCAATAATCGTAGGAATGGAAAAGTTCAATGTTTTCAGAGTGTTCACACTGTATCACTACATGTTTCACATCACTGTGTCAATATCACATAGCACAAGCACAAGGCACAATTCTACGGTTATCCATAATAACCGTAGAAATACTCCATATACTATTTAACTTGTCCCACAGTTTCTTGTCCCGACTCCGTCTTGAAGCCACTTTCCATTTTATATGATTCACTTCTGAAGCCAGAATCCGATTGGTTTGAGTTATCATTCTGTTTGAAATTAGGGTCTTTATCGCTATCGTTAGACGCGAACCCGTAGGACTTTGGTTTAGTCTGGTCTTGTTCCCTTTGCTGTCGCCTCCGTTGCTTCGACCACAGCTCGTGACAATCTTGCCATGTCGGTAACTCCGGAGCAGGCATTCTGGAAGACGAAAATAAATTTGTGAACAACATGCATATTTACTTTTTAATTTATGTATGTATAGTGGTCGCGCGCGACATTATCAGTGCGGAATTAAAGAAAATGACACATTTGCGCAGAACAGAGGTGAAAAGACAGACCAAAATTTTAAAAATTGTTTTTCATTGTTACCAATGCAACATCATGTTACCTAAATACTTTATTTCCAATATTAGATACAAGTACACTAATTTTATTTTAGCTTTAGTACATTTGAATCATGTAAATCTAAATAAAAACAAACATCAGAACTTACTGTTCAGGCACAACATTCTTCAACCATGGACTCTTGAGTGCTTCCTCTGCTGTGATCCTCTTCTCTGGGTCCAACTCCAGCATACGATCTAGCAGATTTAACGCTGGTGCTGGCATGAAAGCGAACTGGTCCCGCACACAGCGCTTGTGAAACCTTTTAGGTCGGAGCGTATGCCACAGCGGTAGGTTCACCACGTTGGGCCACACTCCGGGCACTGGAGTACCGCATACGCGGGATATCATCTCCAGCTGCATCATTTCTACACTAGCCTGAAAATATTCAAATATCAGCAATTATACAATCGATATAGCCACTAGTCTTTTGAAATTGTTGACAGTTCTGAAGCTGTTCTTAGAAGTTAATTCACATAATACTAATTACTTTACAATGTCTGGTTTACATTTGGACAGTGCCGTTAGGAAGACAGGGATATATTTTACGGAATTTAAAGTTTATGCGTGTGTTTAATCCTGGGTTGCTGGAGTTTCCAATTATTTAATCGTTATCTAGTGTCTCATTAGGGTTAGGTTGACCTAAGCTTAAACGGAATAAATTCAAGTTTCGTAATTCGGAAACGCATTTCCTAAACCAAAAACACACGAATGGTTAAACGTAGCTGGAAAACCGGCCATAAGACACATCTATACATATAATAAAAATAGAGTCTGTAAAAGAAAATTTCCAGATTTCGGGAAGATGAGGTATTTGCGTTACTGATAACGATAATCACATTAAAAAAATGTCTGTCTGTCCGCAAGCCGCGTTTGTTCCGGGTTATCTCCGAAACGGCTGGACCGATTTCGTCCGAACTTTCGGATAGGCTACTTTTTTAAAATTCCGCGCTGTCAAAATGGCGACCGAACCGCTATCTCTGGAACATGTGAACCGATTTAGACGGGACTTTGACTGAAAAATAGCTGGTAGAAGGTAGATGCACGCGGAAATATGATAGATGACTTTATTTAATTAAACGAAGTTTGCGGGCGACAGCACGTTACACATATAAATGTTTCAGTATTGGCATTATTGTTATACCTGGAACAATGGATGTTTTTGGAAGAGCTCTCCGAGTATGCAGCCCATTGACCAGACGTCGACCGCGGGTCCGTAGCGCTCCTCGCCCAGCAGCAGCTCCGGCGGCCGGTACCAGAGCGTTATCACTTTGTTGGTGTAGGGCCGCTGCTTATCCTCCGCCGACCACAGCCGCGCCAGACCGAAGTCTCCCAGCTTAACCTCGCCTCTGGAAGGATAAAAGCACATTTATAAGAGAAGCTGTTGCCGACTTTATTCGGGTCGTGTTAAAAAACACACACACAAACGAAGAAAAGCAAAAAAAAACACATTTCCCTCGAGAAACAGACAGCCAGAAAAGAGTTTCTGGATGGATGTTGAATAATTGATTGGATGGATGGATGGATGTTTGTTTGTTAGAGAATAAACATCCATCCGTCCATCAATCTAAACTTTCGCATTTATAATGTTAGAAGTAAAATATACAGACTAGCTTTGGCTCGCGACTCCGTCCGCGTGTAATTAAAAAAATATTTTAAGGGGAATCTGCCACCATTCCAATATCATATAAACAATAGGAAACAGCTTTTAGAAATCTGGGCGAAAAAAGATCAGCTAGTGGGTAAGGAGATAATTGTTTTTTATTATTTACCATTTTTTACCTCATTAATACCGAATTATTTATTTGTAAAGAGTCCGTTACGAAGCAATATCTCTTAGAGTTTAATCTTACTAATATTATAAATGAGAAAGTTTAGATGGATGGATGGATGGATGGATGTTTGTTAGAGTTTGAAGCCTAAACGGTTGAACGGATCTCGATGAAATTTGACATAGACGCAGAGGATAGTCTGGAAGAACATATAGGCAACTCACTTTTGTTTTTTTTTATTCCACACGGACGGAGTCGCGAGCGAAAGCTAGTACCATATATTTCCTTACTTGTTGTTCATCAATATGTTGCTACACTTGATGTCCCTGTGGAGGAAGTTCTTGCGATGACAGTAAGCCAGACCGTCCAGCAACTGGCGCATTATGGACGCGTTGTGACTCTCCGTGAAGTCCACCATCTTCGACTCCAGCAGACCCATCAGGTCATGGTCCATGTACTCAAACACTAAGTAGAATGAACCTTTGTCCTGTACAAAATAACAAAGTTAATTTTAGACCATACTTACTCTATGTGAGGAATTAAAAAAAATTAACAGCCTATGCCATAGTCCAGAGTTTGTGCTATAACTAAATTACATTTTAAATTCATGTTCTGTTGTTATATAGTAACAAACATCCATACATCCATACAAATTTTCGCACTTATAAATAAGATTGATACTAACACAAAAGGCTACGACATTTTAGATGACAACGAAAATATTTTCATAAAATTTCAATAAATTTACTAACAGTATTTTACAACAATTAACATAGCAATATACTAAATATTTCGCTTTGCAATACTAGTAAAGACTGGCAAATTACAGGCCATGTATTCATCAGACATAAAAATATCTTAGTTGAACAAATAAGATGACTTACTTTCCTAAAGTCCATAGCATCCTGTTTATCAGTGACAATTTCTCTTAAATTGACAATATTCTTATGGTTCAACTGCCTGAGGATCTTGATCTCCCGCACCGCGGTGATAGGAAAGCCTTCTTTCTCATTCTCCAGACGCACCTTCTTCAGTGCCACCAGCTGACCTGTGTTCTTGTCCCGAGCTTTGTATACTTGACCGTATGTCCCTTCACCTATTTGAGTTATTACCTGCGAAAATCATTTTTATTATTGTGCTAGAATAATTTTAGTTCCCTTTCCCTTCCCACCATTGAAAAAATGATGAAGAGGAAGTGGATTTTGCGTAGCGCATAAAAAGGGAAATTTTTCTGCAACGTATCTGCGAATGCAACTATGGTGAGGGGTCGCTTCGCTATTTCGGCGAATTCAGGTGGCCGTTAACTTATTTGTCATATAATAAAAAAGCTGTTATATGTAGAATTTGGACTTCTCTCTTTCGATAATATTACCTCTCTACTCTTTAATATACCTAAGTGTAAGTCTTGTATGAGAAAGCATTTCAAAGCTCTCCCTTAGTGACCGATAATCACTCAGAATGCAGTAATTAGTTATATAAAAGTGTTGTCAAAGTATCATATACCTGGAAGCCATCAACACACTTCTCTCCCCAATCTTTGGCATGATACGTCGGCGTGGCCACCGGCACCACTTTGGACCCTCGTCTCTTCAATATTCTTGGCCTTTTTAACTTCGAACCAGACTGAAATAAAAAAAAATTGAAAACTTAAATTTTCAGCCGCAGTTTTAGTTCTTAGAGTATCTCCAGTAAATGGTACAGTAAACTGATGAAAGGATCTTGATAAAATTTGACATAGTTGTAGAAAATTGTGTGGAAGACCATATAATTAAGTAATTTTATTTTTTAAATTCGCGGGAAGTCGCAGGCGGCAGTTAGTATTTATATATAGTAGAATTTATGTAGGCATTGCCAGCCTAATACAGTAGAACCTCGATAACTCAAACCTCGGTAACTTAAAAACCTCTATAAGTTCAAAAAATAATATGTTCCCTTCCTATCAGAGCCCAAAACCTCTATAACATAGACCCTTGATAACTTAAAATATTTTGTGTTTCCCTTGGATTTTAATTATCGAGGTTCTACACCTCGTTAAGGTGCAGCTATCATTATTGGAAGTAGTTTTATATCTGTTTTACATTTTTCGATTCTCTAAGTGGGAAATTCCGCTCTTGCCCTCCTCTGGTGGCGACCTTATTTGTTATTGCCTATATGAATGATACATACATTAGGGTCCCGTTTGTTGCGCGCACTGAACACATGCGAGTACTGGTCGCGGCGCGAGGCGGGCGGCGGCGTGGAGCCGTCCAGCTCCTCCGCGCTCAGCTCCTCTGAATCCGGCACCACTGGAATACATCACATGTACACACTAAATAGCTAGTAATTTAGAGATGACTAGGCATAATCTCGCTGGCATAATGAAAGACTTCACATCTTTGAATTACTTAACAGTAAGGGTGTTGGCGACGTAATTGCTATGCCTACTCGCTGTTACACGTGCCGCCCTTGGATGCACCTCGCGGCACGTGTAACCTCGGATGACCCCGGCCGGACTGTCGTCGCGCGCCGCCGAAGGGCGGCATCTTTTGATGTTCCTTTAACAGCGCGCGGCGAAGGACGCGGTGTCTTTGATTTAACAAAAATTAATAAAATCATGGCACGAGGCAACAATTATTGAGGTCGCGGTAAAATATAAATAGTTAATGTTTAACATATTTGATGTGCAGTATCTTAGTAGCAATAAAGGCGTCAGTATCTCCGAGAAGAAGTTTTTATTTTATCATACAGTCCACTACAAAGGGTATGACGATATTTACCTTCACCGTAACAACGTCGAATAACTGTACACATTAAATTTGAAAGGGATTAAACACATAAGTACAGTCCCGGATATGCGCGGTATTCCACATTCACTAAAGTTATTTTTTTATCTTTTTTTTTTTTTACAATACGAGGTGGCAAACGAGCAAGCGGCCACCTGAATCCACCGAAATGGAAAGCGACCGCTGCACATAAACATCCGCAATTGCAGATGCGTTGCCTACCCTAATTGACGGAGGAGGAGACGCACATAAAGAGGACATTTCCTCTTCCTATGCGTCTCCTCCGCCGTCAAATCCATTTTTTCCCTCCCATCCTTTCCCCTTAAGAAAAGGGTGGAAAGGTAAAGGGACTAAAGTTAGGCCTCCGGCACCACACTCATCAGACGAAACGCGGAATTGCTTCCACTTCACGGCTGTTTTCTGCGTGGTCGTGGTATTACACCGGGCGAGCCGGCCCATTCGTGCGAAGATGTTAAAGCGGGCTCTACCACTGTTATCTCTTATGCCAATGACGCTCTGTTCCCTGTTATATTTTTGCAGCTTAAAAGAGAACATTTTCAAATTAGAAACAATGTTTTCTTACATGGTGGCATTGGTAGATTCATGATGCCGGTTCTCTTTGGTTTGTCTGGTTTCTTTATAGGGCTGGGTGAGGGTGTACTTAAGGGGCTTTCGTTAGCTAACGTCTTCAGATCTTCCACCTGAAAGTAATACATAAAAAAAAAATATCGAATACATTATTATAGACCTTTCGTTCTATATTATTACAAATATGTTAATCTTAAGAGTTTGCACTTTCTAGCATAAAAACTTTTAATCGAATACTAGCAGTTACAATAAAATTTTTCACTGCTTGTTAAACTTTTTTTAAAACGAACTAATCTGATAGTACAGGACTAGACTGTTTTACCTGGGGGGAAATGCGTTATAACATCGCAACAAGACAAACTGCGCCTCTTCCTTCAAATAGTTGCTTCCTTCAAATGCACTGCTAACTAATTAGTTAGCAGTGCGACCAAATGAAGGGATAATAAAAAGAAACTAGTCTTGTATCGCTAACCGATTTTTCGTAAAGATACATTTATAAGATGTGTTGTATTAATTTTTGTTCGGCATCTTGTTTCAAAATGTACTATGTAGCTATTTAAAGCACCGCCAGTTTCCCCTACTGTACATTGTTCCTATCCTGAGTGATGGTCTCCCATGTTACCTGTGTATTGGGGGGCATGGGCAGCTTGGTGAGGCTCCGAGGCTTGGGGGGTGCGGGCTGGCAGTTCTGGAGGTAGACGCCATCTACCACACTGCCCCCCACCTTGGGCAGTGGCGGCAGGCCAGCGGTGCCCGACACTGGGGGCATACTACCCGTCGAACTGCTGGTCGTACTGCCTGGAGCACTCGAAGACGGGGGCGTTTGCGTTTTTTGCTGTTAACAAATTTATAAGCTATTTAAAACTCAATAGCCTGTCTTCATTTCATCGACATCCATACCATTAGGAATTAACTAACATCCATACATCTATCATATCATGCTTGTCATTGGAATTTATACTATATCAAGAAGATGCTATATAATAAGAAATAAGATTTAAAAACATTCATATTAAAATTAATTTACATTTTCCTTTTTATATCGTGATATCTTGTAACATATTTAGTTGCTATTTATCTCTTATAATTGATAATTTGGGAGTAAATATTATCGGATATTAGAAAATAAAAAAAACATACATCAGATTCAACACTATCCGTTGTCTCTCCGTTAGCGGTGGTCTTGTTCTCGAAGGTATCAAACTCCGGCGGCGGCTGCAGCGGGTTGCGGTAGCCGTGGGTGTCGGTGTGGGGTTGTCCTCGCTGCCAGTGGGCGTGGGCATGGGGATATCCACCACCTCCGTCGTCGGCTCTCTCTCACCCTCCTCTTTTGATACCTGTTAATGTAAAAAAATTGTAAAAGTAGTTTTTACTTATTTTACAAATATTATAAATGCGAAAATTTGTATGGATGGATGTTACTACATATATCTACGGCTCAACGGATTTCGTTGAAATTGGGTACAGTTGTAGAAAATAGTATGAAAGAACCCATGAGCTTTTTTTTATTCCTCGAGGACGGTTTCGCGGGCAACAGGTAGTATGTAATTTGAGAGAATTACCTGTGTCGAACTATCCGCAGTCGCATTGGAGAGTTCATCAATGGTCATAACTTCTGGGTTATTTAAAGAATTATTTGAAGAAATCGCCCCTTGAGATTCCTCCTCCTTTTGACTTAATATCTCTTGTAGTTTCTGAAAGAAGAGAAATTGAACATATTAAATTTTATAGTAACTATTTGAAATTTCCAAGATTATTGTGTTTTTTTACTAACCTTTGCTCTTTTATGTTTATCTTTAACGAGTTCCGCGAACAAGCTTGTATCGCTAATCTTCTCTTTTAAATCAATTCTCCTTTGTAATGCTGATGGTGGACTTGGCGATTCATGTTTCACTCTGGAAAATAAACATAAATTTAACATATACTTACATAACATAGATGAATAAATGTTTCTTTACTTTTTTATAAGTTGATAAACCAGCAATCGGGCACTGAAATTCGCCAAAATACCGAAGCGAATACTGTCCAAAGACTTCCGACCTAATCCACTTCGTCTTCCCATCTTTCCCTTGGGAAGATCTTCAAATAATCTGATTATTCCCAACCGTCACCCTGCTCTGACCCCACGCGACAGTAAAAAGTTTTATTCGTCCCACCTTTTAGTCCCACTATCACCAATTAGGTGACAGATGGAACGGTTATGAAATAAATTAAGATCTAACCGTTCCCTCGTCGCAAAAGGTGGGACGGATGAAACCTTTAATTCTAATCTGTTCCCACGTGGGGACAGAGCGGGGTAACGGTTAAGAAGAATCCAAATAATCAATGCAAGACAAACAAGTCACTTAAAAAAGACTTGTAGAGTCGGATACTGAAACGATATTTACAGCGTCTTAAATAAGGCCCGCACAAATTTCATTAAGATGTCTCTTAGATTTTAGGCGACATATACAAATTATGATTCTATTACGTTAGCGACTAAATATGTTGTTTACTATAATTGAGTTTAGGTACCTATGTCTTTCTTTGGTCGTCTCGCTGTGCCGTGGGCGATGTCGTGGCGGCGAGGAGGAACGCCGCCGACTGCGAGACACGGAGCGACGCCGCTTCATTGAACTGCGGCTGTGTGATCTAATTATATGTGCATTATTAATAGATTTAATAACTAAATTATATATACAAATCGTAGTTTATCTCCAAAATAGTTACAAAGGAGTAACAAACACAATTGGGATGATTTGTATTCAATTTTGTAGCTGAGAATTAATTCTCAAATTCGACGTAACATAGTTTCGATTCATTGTTTATTAGACTGATTAAAAATAAATGATTTTCACTACTTTAATCATAATAGGCAACCATCAAAATAATTTACTAACAAACTAGCACTGTTAGTTGTATATATTTTTAATCAAGCAATGACTTAAACACTTGTGTACTTACACATAATAAAGGCTGTAAGATAATGCAACTATAAACAAGCTTGTATAAATAAATGAATTTGGAAGATATACAATATGTGTGTAAGAAAACATTCCTGAAATAACCGACATGCATGTAACAAAAAATAAGCACGGAGACAATTTTGCATAAAAATAAGAACCATTAACTCCAAAAATATAATTTTTCAATCATAACCAGTATTAACTAAATAGTTTTCTTATCTTATACCACATTATTTACTCAGCATGCAGCAATATTTTAATCTGTATTCAAAGAGATTCAAAATATATATAGAGTAGGCATAGTTGACACTAGAAACATTTCTCACATAATCTCACTAACAGCACCTAATGACCGATAGTAAAAAAAAACAAAAAAATAATTAAAACACTGAGAAATGTTTTAGCATGTCAAATTTGTGATTGAACCAAACAGAGAAAGTACCAGTGAGAAATATTGTTCCCTGTCAAGTCTATATATTTCTTAAATGTCTTCTATTCTACATAAGCATGCAAACAACTGTGTTGTCACTCACTTGACTGCACATTCGCTATTCATTGCGTCAGGCGGGACAAGAGTAGACATGTAAGGAGACCAGGAGTTATAGCACTTGAGGTGTTAGCAACCATAGCCAGTGTCATCTTATTTGTTAATGTACAAGTATAGATGGATGGATGGATAGAAGTTTGGTAAAATTTGTAGCCATAACTGTTGTGTGGTGTAAAGGCAACATTGTATATTCTTATTTCAAGTGGAAAATAAAGCCTGTATAAAGGTAACCCTGGCATACAGAATCTTTTACTTAAATCATTTATTTAAGAGAAATAATTATTAACGTTATTAGTAAAACTTGCATTAAAACACTGATATATCACCAAACCATTACAGAGTCCAAACCCAATTATATAGTTTTGTTTATTTTTTTTTTACATAAAGGCTATTAATTTACATTAGTATAGATAGATACCTATGATGAGCGCGAGCTTCCCGATGTCTCTCCCTTTCCCTGCTCCTGTGCCGACGGCGGGGACTCTTGCGGCGGTGGCTGCGGCGAGGACTGTACTCTCGCATCCGAGGCTCATGAGTGGGAGAATCTAGACAAAAGCACTCAAATTACAGACAAAACTGTTCAACACTTATTCTAAAGGTTAATTTTAGAGTAATTGGTACCCTCAGCTCTCATAATCTATATATCACAGGGCAACTCCGCAACTAAATACAAGAAGGTTACGCTGCATTTATGCAGAGCAAAGGGGTCACCTTGCTAACACTCCCTGTACTCCGCTAACGGCCCCCCTCTCAGCGCTTTTTATCATCATTGGGTACCTCAATTAAATCTAATTTATTGTTAACATAATTTTAAAAAGTCTAATACAAATAAGCTGCAGTAATCTAAATAGTTTAATTTCTGTCAATCGAACTTACGGTCATTTTAACTAAAAATATCAATAAAACACATCTTTTGGTTATTAGATTGTTAACCATGAAGCAAAGGATTTAGGTTTTGTTTCAGTATTTGACCATAAAATAAAAAAAAATAAAAAAAAGTGTAAAAACCTAAATATCTTTAGCATACCTGAAATAACCATAATCGGTGATTGTGCTCTATGGTCCATCCAATAGTCCCTCCTCACTCTATCATAGACTTGTTCATTGTCCGAGTCTATGGTGACAGTTTCATGGTACGGTGGAATGGATGGTGTATGCGGTGTCATAGATTTCTGTCTCCTTCTACTGAACAAATAGAAAAAATCTATACATTCAGTGCCAAACAAAAAATCAAGTTCCAAATGCATTGAAATCGGTATAAAACATGACAAAAAACTAAAAATTCATAATTACATTACTTAAACTGTAATGTAAATATAAGAAATCAATTTTTAAAATCAAATTGCTACATAACATTGAATTTATGTTAATTGTTTTTGAATTTAAAACAAAATTTACATATGTATCTAAACTGCAATATCTATAAATAGATTTTAAAAAAATTCTCACCTAACAACAGGAGATCGTTCCCTGCGAGGTGAGTAAATTACATTATGGATTGGCATCTCTCTGTGCATTGTAATTCTCATTTGCGGAGAGTCATCATGTCTGCTCCTCATAGGTGGGGTGGTCGTAGAGATGGGTGAACACGACCCATTCTGAAGTGGGGATGAAGCCTTCTCCCATTCACTTATAGGCACTTGCTGATACCTTTTAGGGCTCACCGGCCGTGGCTCTATATGTACGTCATCATCATGCGACACACTCTCCAGGCTGGCTGACCTTGACCGGTGTTTAGACTTCTTCTTACGTTTCTTTTTCTCCTTCTTACGCTTCTCTTTCTTTTTTTTATAACAGGTGTCACTGAAGTCTGGCTCCGCCTCCACATACTCCAGGCTCCTTCTGCTCCTTGATGCTGCTGAGGAAGAATCACGGGTAAGAGGGTACTCTTCAATAGCACGGCGGCTTGAAGTTGTGGAGACGGATATAGTCTTGTTGTCAAGAAATGTACGCACTGGGTGCGATTTTCTTGTACGGTCAAGATCATCAGCTATGTGTCGGCCTATTGAACTAGCTTCACTCTCTATTTCTCCAGCCTCAGGGGCTGATAGGTCTTCTGAACTAACATCAGAGTATTCAACAAGGGGCTTACTAGAATTTACTGTAGCGTAAGATTGTTCATGAGTACCACTGTGCCTTCTGTATTTTTTGTGATCTCTCTTCTTGTGCTTCTCCTTGTGATGTTTGCTATGTCGCTTATCATAGCTCCGTTCCATGATCAGATAGGGCGGAGACCCCTCACGATGTTGCGCCTTTTCACATTACAACTGAAACAGTAATAAACGAAACAATTAGAAAAGGGATCGAAATATTCGGTTCTACTCAGTGGTCGGCAATCATAATAACGGAAGGAAAAAAATCGCAATAATGGCCGCTCGATCACAAGTTATTGAAGTTATACGAGAGTTAGTTTTAGCAAAAGATAATATTAAAAGCCTTTAAATTTACGCTATCTAATATTAAATCACACTGGCAAAAATGGGAGTTTTACATATTTTCATGGCACAAATGATAAATATTATTATTTCAATCAATATAATTTTTAGAATATAAATAAAAACAACTTACCTTAAGAAAAACGGACGTGCGAAACCCCAATCACTGTAATTTTTATTTGCAAAATTCTATAACGCTTAGATAAGGTATGTCTTATTTAATATCTTTGACTGAATATAAGCAAGTAATATACAGTTATTTGGATTTATTATAGCTTTTGTAATCTTATTTTGCTAGTCATGATCATAAATAGCGCATAATTCATGCAATTAAATTGGATTAATTTTGTTGTAAATTCGAGAACGTCGAAGACGTCGAATCAATTTCTAGTCAGCCATTTGCTTTTTCATTTCATTTCATCATCGCACCCAGTTGTAATGTTGGCCAAGTGGTAATCAGTGTTGCTGTTAACTATTAGAATTTAAGTAAATTGCCAAAAAATTAACATTTTTTTAAAAATAATTGTCGTTTATTTCAGCACTTACATAGTGTAAAAGAGTTTTTATTACTGGAATGTTATTAACTTGCGGTCACTATGTGATTAAAATATTGTTCATTCATTCATAAGATTGTAACGAACTTTAAAATCAATTTTAAAGAGAAAACAATAAAGAAAAACCTTAATAAAATCAAATGGTCTATTCAAATTCCGAGTAGACTATGACTGACGATTCCAAACTATCCATGGCAAACTATTGTATTGTTGTAAAGGAGTGCATTGAAAATAATAAGTAAACTATTGCACTTCACTACTACACTACACTTTGCTTTTGGTTGGTAGCACTGCCTGCCATTTAAAATTTACTAGATTTTTTATCTGTAGATTGCGTGCAATTTACTTTGCGTCCTTCGCATTAGGCTTTATTTTGTTCAAATATAAAATAAAATTAGCTATAGATTAGTCTTAACTAATTATCCTAATAAATTTTCTGAACTCCCTAGCTTTACTTCATAGGAGTCTTGAAATATTGTTAAAGAAACCAAGTGTTCCAACCCAAAAGTTCACGGCTTCTGTTGGTTGCGCATCGTGAAATAATTTAATGGAAGTATTATTATAATTACTAAAAAGGTAACTGTGTTTAATAATGTAAGAGGAGTTTTGTGTGAAACTTACAACAAAGTGATACATAGTGACTTAACAAGTGTAATACTATGGTTATGTTGGTGGGAAAGTCAATGAACCTACATACGGCATGCTGACACTGTGACTTTGTTACGAAAATATGTAAATAAACATGAATGATATAGGCGTTAAAACAGCAGAATCTCCGAAGGATATATCGGAGATTTCTCCAGCGCCAGAGATAAGTGTCGACAATGAAGTCGATCCATTATCCTTAGAGGATACGGATGTGGTCACCGGGAAGGATCCCTTGAAAGAAGGAGACAATGTTGTAGAGGAGAAGCGGGAAAGCTGTGATGATAATGCCAAAGAAGATAATATAAGTGAGAGCCCTAATGATGAAACTATAGCTGTTCAACCGGAGACTATTAAAGGTACATTTTAAATAATTTTAACTATAAACTGATAAAAAAAGTCTTTATGAAGGCATTTTAAATCTTGAAATAATCTTGTCATGTTTTACAATCTTCCCGTACTTAAGGAAGTACCAAATTTGATTCATAAGATGGTGCAACCGGCTGACTAAAATGTGTAGACACAATACAATTACTGCCATTATTATGTCATGAGGTAGCAAATGTGCTAGCTGCCACATGAATTATTCTGCTATTTCATTGAGCAAATTGACTAAAAAAATTATTACTAATTAAACTTGGTATATGCTAGCTGTTTTGATAATTAGATAGTTTTTGTAGTCTCTCTGGGTGTCTACTGCTGCTTGATTTTTACTGATTTTGTTTTAGGAAGCTCTTGAGTCTAGTCCATATAGATCTATATAGATGTAATTGTGTTAGTCCAAAGGTCATAAGGAAAGAAATAAGAAACAGAAACCTTTTTTTTTGACCATAGTTGTTTAACAAAAATGAAATATTTTTTTGTTTGCTATCCCAAACAATAAATATATTTTTTTTTTACAAATAGAGATTTATAGTCTCTGCATAGTCCTATGCATTATGGTATGTTGTATTGTTATTCTATAATTTGCTAATGTGTATGTACATATGATATTGAACAAATTTTAACTCATTAATGAAGACATTATTTCCAATTAAAAATTTAAGAATAGTCTAAAAAGTTTTGACTGAATAATACTATACTGATAGTGTTTTAATTCTTTGAAATAATTGTATTTTATATGCATTTAATTGTTTCTAATGATCACCAATAACCTCCATAGAGGTCATTGACTTTGCAGTTTTCTCATAAACTTGTATCATATTGCAACACATGCATCATTAATATTACATACATAACATGTATGACTCAGCTAAATTGAATTTTATTTAAGTATTCTGTGTTGTGTCCGTTAAAATATTGTGTTCAAAGTAAACATTTTGCCTCCATACCAATAGTAGGCAATTCATATTAATTTTTATTCAACTACCACATTTACACCGCAACTGTATGGAATTAAAAAAAAAAAACAAAAGAGAGCCTTATATTTTCCCTCAAAGTCTATGCCAATTTCATTTAGATCTGTTCAGCCTTTCAGGCTACAAACTCTAACTAATATCCATCTTTTTTTTGTGACTGAATGGCTACTTCTTGCCTTGAAACAGGCATTCTCAGATTCAGATGAGGTGGTCGAGTGCAGGTGGCGCTTAGCCTAAACCTTGTTTATGAGTAAGCTTGAGGGCTCCCTCAGGAGGCTCCGCATGAGCCATTACTATAATAATATCCATCTGTTTAAACTTTCGCATTTATAATTTTCTCTAAATAAGTGTACTTTGTCATCAGACCTATGTATTTTCTTATTTATGACTATCTAATTGTGGTTTTCAAATTAATTTACCCCAAAATTTATATACTAAAAGTGTTTTTACAGTAGTTCAAATGTTACTAACTTTAAATGGATGGTTGTCAAGTTACAACTTCTGAAGTTTAGATGGTTGGGTGAATAGATGTTTGTTAGAGTTTGTAGCCTAAACAGCTGAACTGGTCTCGATGAAATTTGGCATAGACATAGAGGATAGTCTGGAAGGACACATAGGCTACTCACTTTTGTTTTTTTTACTTTCACGCGGACGGAGTCGCGGGCGAAAGCTAGTTCGTAAAGGTTCGTCTACTCGATGGTTTGTATTTCACCATAAAAGATTTCAGTTCGTTTATCCCTTAAAAATATGCTAATACTGCTTCTATCGCGATTATGTTGGAGTAAAGTATAATTACGGCTGCTTCTTGTATTGTATACGAGAGCGGTCTAACTGCACTCTGCGTAAGTGGGCCACGTGTTGCACTTCCGTAAAATGCATAGCTGTGCCCACGAAGAGCCGTTTGAATACTGCATTCGCTTATGTCGACATAAAAACAATATCATCTCCCCTACCTTATCCTACTCACGTAGGTTCGGCGCGCCAGGTTTTTATCCTCCCTTCTTGATCATGTCACCTTTTACGCAACCCATCTATCTCTTTCTTGGTCTACTTCTACAGGTGTACTCCTCTACATTCATAACGTCCTTCTTGTTACATGCGATTCATCCCTCCTTATAACATGCCCATACCATGCTAACCTTTTACTCCTTAATTTCTCAACACTGAGGTTACTCTCAAACGACCTCTAATATACTGATTTCGTATCTTATCGTATTCCTATAACCCCACACATCCATCTAAACGTTCGCATTTCTGCCACATGTTTTCTCCTTTCATCTGACCCTTTATGTCGACATAGAAACAGCATCTCGTATCCCTACGGCACTATTCACTACATTTTTCAATGTCAATAACTGGTTTACCAAAATTGCATTCAGAAAGGTAAATTGAAAGAAAACTTACCACGTTTAATACCACTACGAGTTTTGTAAGACTGTAAACTCGTAAGGGGAGATGGTGGCACTCAACGTGTTAACGGCTGTTAGTACTCCACGTGATAAGACGCAATCATGCTCATTTACCTAAGTTAGGCAATAAAGAATTGCGTCATTCGATCATTAATTAAAAAATGAACAAATGTTTGTTCAATTCGATCCCAGTAATCCTTTTCTAGTTCGCGTCGAGATTCTGTTCAATCGGATACAAAAGGTTTTGTTTTGCCCTTGAATTGAGTGGCATTGTTCTGGTCATAGCAAAAGGTCTTTCGTAGTTCAAGTGGCGAATGACCATAAGAGAAAAGGTCGGATATGTTGTATCGGAATTTACAAGGTTACAAGACTTAAATATATTACGAGAAAAGATGTCCATCTTCATGTGCAACTTCTCTGATGTTATTGAATACTACCTTTGCTCGCGACTGTCTCCGCGCAATTAGAAAAAAAATCTTTTAGATGTGTTCTATATCTGTGCCTTTCACAATGATCCATTAAGCTGTTTTGCGAGCATAGTAACAAGCATTGATAAATAGTTTGCATTTATAGTATTTACGCGATTAGTATGATACATTAGTAAAGTTTGGAGATGGCGAAAATTAATAAAAACTAAACTACATGTGTTTTTCTATGTATTTCACTATAAAATCTTTTTAAACTTGCGATGGTAACATTTCACAAAATTTCCAGAAGTGTTGCTGAAAGATGAAGCACCAATAACTGTGATAGAGGTAAAAGATGTGGCAGATGATGTTGCGATTAGTTTAAAACCTGACCAAGCTCCTGAGAACACTGCGTCCTGTGCTCCTGAGACCAGTGAACTGCCTCAGGAAACGAAGCAGTCTGTTGACGTCCCGAAGGTTGAGGAACCTAGTCCTGTAAAAGAAACTCCTGTGGAGGTCGAGGAAGTAAAACCACAGAAGGCTGACGCTGATGTGGAAATGACTGAAGTAGTGCAGTCTAGTGAAAAGACAGAGAAAACAGAATCTAAAATTAATACACAAGCATTAAACGGCGACGTTATAAAGGTATATATTAATTTATCCATAGAAAATGTTAGTTAAGTTCAATTGTAAATCACTTGTCTTGTTCCAGGAGGAGCAAACAACGAAAAGGCGAATCAGCGAAGACGTCGATACAGAATCACCGCTGAAGAAGCTCTGCCAGGAAGTTGAGAAGACTTTCCCACAACACGATGTCATGATAAGCGACTACATTCAGACAGCGACTAAAAACAACGTCGATGAAATACAGAGGCATACGGAACAACTGCTCTCAGAAATACAGACGCTAAGAGAACTCGCTCAAAAGAAAGAACACGAATGGAATAATATACTGCACCTAAAGAAGGTCAAAGAAGAAATACTTTTACGACTTCTAAGGCGTAAACAAGTTATATCTTTCGAGAAATCAGCGGACGTGAACGGTTCAGAGAGAACGGATCCCTTTGATTATTTAAATCAAGCTAAAAACCTGGCCATAGACAAGAGCGATGAAATCTCAGGGTTGGCGATCAAACAGCCGAGTTCAACGATGGTCAACCCTATATTGCAGGCGCCGGTGTTGCCTGTTACGACGCATTTTAATCACATGTCAGGGTTGCCACCTCCATACGACAAAGCTGCACATATGCAATCAATGCCGAAACCAGTATTCCATCAGCCTTTAATGTTGCCTGGCCCTTTACCAGGTTTCTCTAGAGATATGAATGGACAGTTGAATAATTTCGGAATGCCGATGGGTCGGCAGGGACCCACTAAAGATGTTAAATCAATAATAGCTGATTATAGACAGAGGAACCCAGAAGTAACTCCGAGAAGAGGAAGACGGATGAAGTCGATACTGAATCCTAATATGATGAATCCACCGAGACCTATAGCACCTAAAATTGATAACTTAAATAATTTTAATAATCTTAACATGCTATTCAACAACTTGGATATGGTAAGTGTATTCTTATTTATCTTTTAACTAGCTGTTCCCATGCGACTTCATCCGCATAAAATTATAAAAAAATCATTTTATTGTTCACATTTGTCAAATTATCAATTGCAGACGTCAAAATGACATGACATGATGTCAAACCATGGCAACCTTGCTTCCTTGATGTTGGCAACAACTTATGGTCTCTTTCCCACATTAGGGTTTATATCCAAAATATTTACCCCTAAGTTTAACGGCGTGAAAATTTATAGCCTAAAGCGTGACGTAAGTGTAGGACTATTTATTAAAAAAAGAGTTATTCGAAATTATGCTGTGATTGCTGACATCTTAGGCAACAAAGAAGTGTGTGTTTACGCTTTATTATATTAGTATGGATTAATTCGTATCTCGTCTTTAATGAGTTTTAACCCTTAAATAACAGAATTTTCGATCAAGGTAAAATAATAGCTATGTATTTTTAATAAGTAAATTATGTTCATGGCTTTATAGTCAACCAATAACACAATAAGGACTTGAACCCGTGACCTTTGAAACCGAGGCCGAGCCTCAACCTGTGCGTCATACTTCTATTGTTTTTATAAATGAAGCTCAAAATGTCGAATTTATAATTCCATTGCGTTCCTTGTGTACATGCGTATACCATCATAAGCTGGAATTCTTAAAAATCGTATTTTTTGTCTTATTACTATTTACGGAGGAGCCATTGAGTAATGGTGGAATGGATCGTTTAGCAGTACCTAAATCTCATGCGAATTTTGGCTATAACAGGCTTAATCAAGCGTCTTTCGTAAAATAACTGAGCGTGTCGTAGTATTTGTTCTAAATTACTAAGTTTTCTTCTTTATAATATTCTTCTTCATTTATTTTGCTTAATTATCACAATTAGAAATCAATTACGACGAATATCTGTGATCGAAACAAAAATATGTACGGTTACTTTTATTTGCAAACTTAAATTAAAATCGAAGACGCAAAATAACAAGGTTCATATTACGGAATATACAAATATAATACGTGTTGTTTCTCTGTAGGAAATCTTTTTTATTCTTTAAAAAACAAGACATACATGTATAGACTAGTTTTGGCCCGCCACTCTTTCCGCGTGGAATTAAAAAAACAAAAGTAAGTAGCTTATGTCATCTTCCAGACTATCCCCTACATCTACGTTAAATTTCATCGACATCTGTTGAGCAGTTTAGGCTATAAACTAACAAGCATCCTTCTATCTAAACGCAATATTATAAAGATTAGTAAGTTTATGAAATTTAATTTATAAAGCTTCAATTGCGCACCATGTGGCATTTAAACCTTCCTCCTGCGTAATTACCTCATTCCCCTCCCCTTCCATTGCTTTCTCTGGCACGAAGTACTATAGATTCCGGTGCCAAATGCCAAGCGAGTGCACAAACACCTTCGTATCGACCTTGGCGGTTCGCGATGTCGAATTAATTTTCGTATCCTTGACTTGAATCTGCGACGGCCGTTGAGAGGTCGTTGCTACCGACTACCGAGCGTTTGATCAATTCGAATCTAGATATGTAGGACGCGAAGCCACTCCACAGTACATGTATGCTATATTTATTCGTAAACGTACAGTACATTTCAGATATCTTGACTTTTAACTGTACGAGGTTATCCCATAACATGTTAATAAGCGTAGCGGGATGTAAGGAAGGTAATGCATGCCGCGGGTATGATCTTGAGCCGCTAAGATATTTGAAAAGAACTATACAATGCAACCAATTATTTTTTTACCTCATATTAATAGTATCATTGGTTTGGTAAAATAGATTAAAAAGATGTTTAACATTTTTCCAGAACCAAAAGGCGATGTTAGAGAGATTGCAGCAGATCCAAGCTGGCGGTCTTCCCAACGGTGTATCGTTCAAAGACGTACTCGTACAGTTCGCTAACATGCAGCAAACGAACCCCAACCTCATGCCGAGCAGGCCCATGGAGATGCCCAGCAGAGAACATCATGTGAGGCCCGAAGGCAGACGGAGACAGGATAGAAGTCACGAGGAGCCCCACATCCCCAAGCAAGCGGAGAGGCTGACCTCCCCCAGTCCACGTCTACCCCCACCTCCGCCGTACCCTGAAATATCTCTGTTGCCAGTCACCACCAGCCAGGAAACCTCACAGTCACAAAGTTCCCTGTTACACGGGATATTGACTAAGGTAATTTAAATATTGCAATCATTTTATTAGGTCTCATTGAATTTTTAATCAGTTAGCAACACTTAGGTTTAGTTTTTTTTAACCTAGCGATTACAAGTGTCTTTAAGTTGGGTGTGAGTCGCTTAATTTGAAGACGCTTGAAAACATTTATTTATGAGTTAAAGGGATGGACATTGCTTATACATTTTATAATGTAGTTTTTTCATATTTAATTTTTTTAGGCTATGTTATGGTAACTTTGTTGGAAAATTGCTAATATTAATGCATTACTAGTACTAGTTGTTTTGGACTGTAGTAATGTAATGTCCATCTCTATTTCATTTGTGTCACAGATCGTTACAAAACGTTATGAATTAGCTTGAATGGGTGTTGCCAAACTTCCAGCAGGCGTCCCCTGCGTCTCAGAGTTTCTCCCCGACGTTGGCTAAACTGCTCACGTCGCCGGAAAGGAAACAGAGCGCGCCAACGTTGCCAACTTTCGGTCAGGCCAAGGTACAACCTTAATGTGTACGAAATAAGACCCGAATTGGTGTGCTAATTGGCCTCGATCATTCTAAATTCAAAATTTAGCTTTAAGAATATAAAACGCAGCTTTGTAAATAGTTTTAGCGCCATCTAGCGCTGGAAACGTTAATCGTCAAAGAGTAGACAGCGTTTTGGTCATAGATTATGAGTTTATTTAAAGTCATTTGCATGCTTCAACTATTTACAAAGCATAAGAGTACGTTTGAATGCAATTTGAACAAATAAAAACAGAAAATGGCAATGCTCATTAAGTGATAAATGCCACTTCATGTTTTGCTCTTATAGTTTTCGGTTTTGTTAAAATTATATCAAAATCAATGTTATTTGTCACAAAATTGTAGCGAAATTCATATTTTCATTCAACAACTTAAAATACATTGAATAAAAAATCGTGTCATTTCGCTAGATTTTCATGAAAACAAATAGTTCCAAGACTAAATTTCGTTTAACTGTAAATACTTTCTTTCTATTTTCTAATATAAGCGCTTTGAGGAATCGCCACTATTAGCTTGGAGCTTACCACTATATCTGCAGCAAAATAATCATTAAAACCCACAAAACTAATTAACAATTGAACAATTTTTCTATTTGTATGGTGACATTTATTTTCCTTTCTAGCACGTGCATATAAAATTACACTCATATATGTATACTTAATTATTAAAAATTAAAATATATAGAAAATACATATCTTCTGTAAAAAAAACTATTACTAATTCTATAATATTCTAGTATCACTTTCTAGAAAGTTCTATTGCCTTGTGCATGGATTTTTTTCTTGTCTGTCTTCATGCATGACTTAGCAATGCTATGCATATGCATATTTTTGCTTTAACATATCTAACTTGTATCGTTTTGCGAATATCTATTTTTTTTTAAAGTCTTCTGCTTAAAATTGTCTTCACTGAGTGATAAGTTACATTAGCCTTGGAACTAGTAAAATCTGTTAAACATACGAAGCCGTATTTTTATATGACTATTATAAAACTGTATATTGGACTTATGGTTCCTATGTAAACTGTCGTATGTTTGAAATGCAAAATTTGCAACAATAATTATTAATACCATAGACAACAAAATTCATAGTTATTTTTAACATTACTTTTAAATTTACACAGAAAATAGTTTTAAGTTGATTTAAAAACAATATAAAGCGTAAATCGCAATATTATGGCTTACGATATTACATAGGAGCCATCGTAAGTGTAATGTATGTACACAGATAAGTAATTATTACGTAATGTTTACAGAACTGCGGCGAGATTACGATAACTCCGGTGCAGCCCGCCCCGCCGCCAGACCCGCAGCCGGAGAAGACCGAGGAAGTGGTCCACCTGGTTAGTACTGTAATAGTAAACTAGCTGTTGCTCGCGACTTTGTCAGTGTTAAAATAAAAAAATCATTAAAATATAAATACAATAGTTATACTATGTTACTGATAACGTAGCTTTTTTTTAAAATCGGCCTAATAATCGCGTTATATTACGATATGATACATAAATCCAAAAACACCCGGTTATAGTTACAATAAATATTAGTAAATTATCGAAAATCTACTAGTTTATATATAAAAACAGTTGCTTGTCTAAACCAAAAATAATGACCTCTAAACAATTTTGAGGTCATTATTCAATATATTCGCATATAGTATGAAAAATTATCTATTCTAGTTATTCGAATAGATTTTAAAGTAATAATCCAAAAAGGTTATGGTGTATAACTCTATTCATATATCTTAGCGGCTCAAGATATATCTTCCGTTTACATCTCTATATGTCCGTTGTTTTCCGAACCTTCAAAATATATGAATACTCTGATATGTTTTTTCCAGGATGACGAGGAGAGTCCCGCGTCGGAGTGTTCAGGCGCAGGGTCTCCTTTAGGGTCCGGGTCGGGCCGGCTGGTGATAGACGAGGGCGGGGAGGCGGGCGCGGAGGCGGAGGCGGAGGCGGGCGAGGGCGCGGCGGAGGCGGAGGCGGGCGCGCCGCTGTGCCAGGGCTGCCGGCGGCGCGACGCTCAGTTCGTGTGCGCGGGCTGCGCCAACCAGTGGTACTGCAGCCGCGACTGTCAGGTGAGACAGCCCTGCGTGACACTTACTGATATATACACTGATAAATGAGCTTTATGCTAAGCGTTATCTGCGCTTGGCCACCTCGAGCCAGGTTAATCTGTAAATGCCTCTTCAAGGCAAACAATGACATCCTAAACACAAAATAAAGACCGAACACCTTTTACTCCTCTTAAAATGATTTTCACTGGCCTAGAAAAATAAACAGCTATATAGGGTTAATGGGAGTCACTAATGGTCATATACAGAAACAAAACTACGTCTTATTTAATAAGGACACGACTTAACCTGCAAATTTCATAAGTATATAAAAGTTTTGATATAATCGAAATATTGTAATCGACGCTTATGAAGGCAAGTATTCTAATCTTACTTCTTCCTTCTTACTTATATTATAAATGCGGAAGTTTAGAAGGATGGATGGATGTTTGTTAGCGTTTGTAGCCAAAACGGCTGAACGGATCTCCGTGAAATTTAGCACAGGTTTAGAGCATAGTCTGGAAGAACACTTAGGCTACTTTTTATCCCGGGATAAGTTACGGTTCCCTTGGGATTCATTAATTTAGTTTTTTAATGTATACTCGATCATTCTGCAACATATCTTATTGAAATTTGGCACAGATGTAAAACAAAGTCTGGTGTACACATGGGATAAGCTTCATCCCCGAGGTGTCCGGTTCGCGAGGGATACGTAGCTTTTTGTAATCTATATAGTTCTTATGTTTTCTAATACCACGCAGACGAAGTCGCGGGCAACAGCTCGTTTCGTTATAATATTCGAATTAATATTACACATCTCCAATAATTTATTAATATTTTAAAATGACGTTTATCGTTTTAATTATTATTACATACAGAATATTTATCTCCACCTATTTAAATATATACATTTTTTATACTAAATCACAATGATATTCCAAACGAAGTTTTAAAAGTTTCTTATGAGTATTGAATTAAGGTTCAAATTTGCACTTGCAGGTGGCGGCGTGGGACGACCACTCAGAAATGTGTTCCGGCTGAGACGCGGCCGAAGACTCCACGTGACTGCGGCCGCGGACTCATTGCCTTATTTAATATAATTAATTAAAATATATACATTATGTATGGAACATGTATATGAATCTCTGAACAAAAATTGTACGAATATACAAATGCAATCAATAATGAAATTTTTACGCACAGAATAAATGGACTTGTGTACAGTCGGGGAATTTGTCGGTGCTCCTAAATTGAAAATCGATTAGTCTTAACGCATCAAGACAGCGCGGAACAATAAATAAGACAAGGCTTTTGAATGTTTTTATACGAAACTTACGTGAGGTTTTTTTAAAATATTCTGCCCCGCCCCTTGGTAAGATTTCGTTAGATTTCATTTAACCCCATCCCCCAATCTCACGTAAGATTTTTCAAAATATACAATTTGGATAGATCAAAATAGTATATTTTTTTGTTTCGATCATAAAAAAAATTTCCTGATATTTGCCGAGACCCCCC